GTTTGTTAGCTAAAAACCAGTTCACAATTTTTGATTTGCTGTTTTCTATGATCTCTTTGATAGGTTCTGACGGGTAATATTGTTGTAAGGTCGTTGTGTCGTCAACAAATAAAATAAGTAAATGATTCACAATCTCACAGAAATTGGAGAATATTGATGTAGATGCGGAAGAGAGGAGTGCCCAGCACAGAGCCTTGAGGGACGCCATGCTTGATCCTCTGCCTGCTCGAGCTCGCATTATTGAAGAGCACATACTGTTCTTTCTCCTCCATGTAGGACCTGACAAAAGCTACGCTGCTCAGATGGAATTTGTAATGGTCAAGTTTGTTAAAAAGGATGTCAAAAGAGATGCAGTCAAAAGCCTTTGTCGGGTCCAGGAAGGAGGCATATATAGGTATCGCGCTTTTCCTCGAAGCCCTTTGCAACAAACTCAGTAAGGCGGTTGATTGTCAGGGTTGTTGATTTTTTGTTTCTGAAACCAAAACGACTTTGGGTAAAAAGATTACTACTTTCACAGTGGTTATTAGAGATTGAAGTTTACCGGTAATTTTCATCTGTTCTTTCTCAGTGGTAATTTACCGGTAATTTTTCGGTTATTTTGGTAATTTTGGAAATATTTCATGAAACAAACAATTATGTCTATATACTATACGTTCAAGGAAAGGTAAATACCTAATACTTACTTTTAAAGGGCAAAAAGAAAACAGATAAATAAAATGAGCTGAATAAGTATAGCATAAGAGAGAACTCTGTCAAGAAAATTAATTACTTTAAGCGCACAGGGTTGGCAAAAATCCGGGATTTTGAAAATTTCTATTGGTTTTTTGGGTTTTTGCGAGAGTTATGCTTTTGTAAGATTTTTGTGTTTCAAGACCTTTGACTCTTTGACATTCCAAATAATCTCAAACTCATAACTCAACAACAACCCACCAGGTTTTTGAAATAGGTTTTTCCTACGAGCACAATGTTCTAATTCAAAATATAGGTACTACATAATTTTTACTTCAAATCAAATTACTATCTATAGGTACTATTTTCCATTGAGAAAACCTAGATCTTACATAGATTTTTTGATAAATGAGATGGACAAAAATACTTGTGGAAAAACATTACATTTAACTTCTACAGAAAATATCTTTTTCCTACGAGCGTGCGCAAAGAAGTACTTTTCCGCACGCATTCCAGGGCTCAAAGTTACACTTTTCCGCACTCAGTGCGGATACAGGCCTTATCCGCACTGAGTGCCGAAAAGTAAAAATACTTGTCAAGCAACAATAAGTGCACCTGTCGACTTTGACACATGATGACAAATTTTTTCTCGGTTTCTATATCAGCCAACATCAATACAAACACCAAATATAAATTAACCTTGACACATTGTCAGATTTGTTCTCTATTTATATGCAAGAATCTACAAACTTTATCATCAAATTTAAATGCTTTAAGATGAACAGCTCTGACGAGGATTTTCTGTTATTTTTTTTATTAGGTAATTTTTTGATAAATGTATAGGTTCGCTTCAAGTTAATTAAAAATAATTGAACAAATTATGGGTTTAAAAAAAAAAAAAAATCTTGTTACCTACCTGATATGAAGCTCGTAGGAAAAATGTTGTTCCTAACACGTGCGCAAAGTGTCTTTTCCGCACGCAAACACGTATCCGAACTCCGCTTCGCGTCGTTCGTATAACTGTGTTTGCGTGCGGAAAAGTGACACTTTGCGCACTTGTTAGGAAAATAACTATTTCACCATTGACAGCTTGCCAACTGCGGTCTTGACAGCTTGCCAACTGCCGTCGCGTGCGGAAAAGCACGACTTTCCGCACTTGTTAGGTAAATAACTATTCGTTTATGCCAAACCTGAGAGCGCGTTACAGATTCACAACAACATGGCGAATAATGCATGAAAAGAATTGTCGCCTGAATGTGATTTCATTCAGGAAGCATTTCTGAAAATTACCGGTAAAGAAATTTGTCGGGTTAAATCACCAAAATTACCTTACCAAAATTACCGCGGTAACGTTACCACACTTTAATCTCAAGTGGTTATTCATTCCATCTTTCATTAATGATTCTAGAATTTTAGAAATTATTGGTAAAAGAGAGATAGGACGATAATTATTGTAGTCGTCAGGGCTACCTTTGCTCTTATAGATAGGTACTACTTTTGCGCAATTTTCAAAGTCCTAGGAAAATAGCTGGTTTGGATGCATTCATTGAATAAGTCTGTCAGTGGTCCCGTTAAGATGTTTGATTATTTTTGTGTTTAATTCCATAGTGGTCTTGGCTACCACTGTTTTTGAGATTAGAGATTTTGGCCGCCACCATACTGGGGGTAACAACTCTAAATTTAAAGACATCACCCTCAAACTCGGCAGACAAATAATCCTTATATGATTTCTGACTGATTGGCAGACCCTTTATGACCACTTCAGCGATGTTAACAAAAAAATCGTTAAAACCTTTAGCTTTCAAGTTATGAGAATTTGGAGCTGATTCTTGATTTTTTTGTGATCGAATTAAGTTCCACATAGCTTGAGATTTATTTGTAGCGCCATTTATATACCTGTCATGAGCAGATTTTTTTTGCTTTAGATATTTCTTGCCTGTAAGTGGTTCGAAAGTCATTAACCATTTTTTGAGGAAATAAAGTTGGATATTGCTTGCTTAAAAAGCTTAACGTCTGGAGTTTTTCTCTCATACCTCGCAGGGTATCATCAAACAAACCATTCTATCTTTGGCTTGTTGACACCCTTGTTGATCATTTTAGATTTGAATGGCAAGCACTAGTCCATTCCATTGATTAGAGTGTTAAAAAAATTGAAAAGTTTGGATTCAATATGATCCTGAGTATTTACAATTGCCCGCCAGTCACAATGCATAAGCTCAATGTACAGATTTGATAGACCCTGATCGGTAATTGGTCTAAAGTTAACTCTTCTACTATGAGTTTTTCCTAGGTTAAAGGGTGTAGCAAAGACTATACCCGAGTGGTCCGAGAAACCGTCCAAAGCATATTTTGAAAGCTTGAGGCCCTCTTTGCTAAAGTCAACAAAAATATTACCAATGCATGCCCCTGCTCAAGTAGTAAAATGCATGCTTTTGTAAAGGTCCAATGAATTAAAAAAGAAATTCAGGTACTTGGCCTCATTGTTATTTGGAGTCTCAAAATGAACATTAAAGTCACCTGTTATGATTGTATGAGCGGAAAAGTTAATTTTGCTTAAAACTTGAGAAAGTGTTTTCAAGTAGGTATCAAGATCACCATCAGGTGATCTATATACTGTGAATATCTGCAAATTAAGAGGTTTGATATAGATTCCTGATACTTCGCAGTGCACTTCAATTGGGTATTTTGAAATTTTAAGATCCTCACAGGGTAGGTTCTCTTTAATGTAGATACCAATCCCCCCTCGCTTTTTTTTTACCTAGAAAAGTCTGAAACGCCATTAAACCCCTTTATTTGGATTTGAGAAAACTCATTGGAATGCAACCAGTGTTCTTTGACACAAAACAGTCCACACTCAGCACCCTGTGGATTATCTCAATATCTGAGATTTTATCACGAATACCTTGAAAGTTGGCGTAAAATATTATGAAATTTTTGTTAAAAAGAGATTTACTATTATTCCTAAAATAGTTCTGACTAGAGCAATATTTATTTACACCTTGGTTGATCGCCTTTGTTGATAAGGCATTTTCTTCAGGCGTTGAATGTTCAGAAAATGGTTGAGTGTGCTATTATCATGAACTACTTTCGTGAAAATATCCCGAAATGTTGTCTATTCCTCGTAGCGCCCAGCGCCCATCAAAAATTGGTAGCTTGATTTTTGTCAAAGAGATATTGCATTGCTTGTTGTTGATTGCAGATGCTTGAGCAGGATTTATTGAAATGTTTTTTCGGCTAGAGCTAACAGAATTTCTTCATGCCGTTCCTCTAGCTGTTTATAACTTTTTTTAATTGATTTGTGCTTGTCTTCTTTTTATAGCTGCTATTTCTAGCCATTTTTTGGTAATTTTTTCATGCACTTGCTTGCTACGAGCACTCGACATTTCCTCTTGTAATTCAGTGTCAATATCCTCCAGTAACTCATTCATTTGATTGAATGTTTCTCGTACGTTTATTTGTTGTAGCGTGGTTTGTGGTGCTCGATTTGCCCTTATCTTGTCTCGATCTTCAGTTATAACCTCTATTGCATTGCTGCATCATTTGGTCAGTTGACTGAAATAATTCTCTTTCGTGAAGTAGTGCACCTCTTCAATGCTTGTATATTTTTTTTGTATTTCTGCCCAAATTTTCTCTATTGATGCTATTTTTTCATCATATTATTGTTCAGTTTTCCGGCTTCCTGAATCTTTCTTGATGTTAGACACCCATCATAGTATCTCTTTGCCTAAAAACTCTTGGTGTTCTACTTCCTCCTTGTTGATAGCCATTGTTTTAGTTGTGCCTTTACCGCCCTTAACGGCTTGACCGAACTCCGCTCCGCGTCGTTCGGTCAACTGCCGGTAAAGTATCACTTTCCGCATTTGTTAGGTAAATAACTATTATGTACGACCCATATTTTTTTCATATATTCGAAATGGTTTTAATTTTTCACAAAAGATTATATTTATAATTTTTGAGAAATGAATTTTAAAAAGTGGCGTTTTTCAATAAAAATGAGTTACATAATGAGCTCTCATTACGTCACTGAGTGATGTAATGAGCTCATTACATCACTAAGCACAAAAATGCAACTTATTACGTAACTCGAACAGGCTAAAATGAATTACGTAATAAGCTCTTACAGTATAGGTCGTACATAAAATGTTGTATATCACACGTACGGTAACGCTCATTACACCACTTGTGTGATTACTATGACTCGGTCTACGACCTCGTTTTGGCAATATTCCCCACTCGTTACTGTAATGAAGCTCATACTGTACTAGTAATATAAATAACTATTTATGACTTTACAAATAGTATTATAAAAAAAATATATGAAAAGCTCTTACCCAATATCCGAAAGGAATCTGAGAAGTTTCAGCATTGATGAATCCCCAAAGTGCCCAAAAGAAGTGGGAGGCCAAAGTAAACACTTCCACTTCTTTAAGTACTTTCTTAGCATTCTCTCTCGATCCTCTTTCAATCAAATAAGTCCTGATGAAGTTGAGCCTCTGTTGTTCAGTTGGATAATTCGACCAGTCTTCGCGGTAATAAGGATAGTTTTCTTCTTTGCAGTTGTATACCCACTCGATGAAATGGTTGGCAATATCGAAACCGCGGTAGTTGTAAGAACAATATTCGAAGTCTAAGAGAAAAAAATCATATAAATGTCATTGGTGTTTGATTTAAAGTATTAAAACTCACCAATGATGACTAATTCTGGGTCATTCGGATTGTTCTCTTTGTCTTGGTCCATGCTTATAAGAATGTTTCCTTCTTGCATATCATTGTGGCAAAATACGACAGGGCTGTTTTCTTGTTCCAATCTGAAATAGATGTGTGTTATTGTATTAGTTTGGTTAATGAACACGTTCCAGTGTATTGCTGACAAAAAATGGGTTTGAAACGGCATTAAGGTGCTTTGGAGTTCTACATTGAAACTTAGGGCCTGACACCTCATTTAAACGAAATAAAGAGATAAAAATCACTAAAGAAGAGAAGAAGAAATGGATTTATAGATGTTCACAGACCAATTCAATTTATTCAACAACAGATCACATTAATTGAAAGATTACATTATACCAGTGGTAGAACAAGGATCAGAAATAAGCACGGTATATCAGACAGAAAGAGAAACAGGTTGAAATAATTAATACATAATTGAGCAAATGTAAGGGAATTGGCAAAATTTACATCAATAATTTTTTGATCCTTCACATGATTCTCATCATTGTTTTTTTAAATTGAAACTTCATTCATTCTTCAGCAACGATTCATCTTTTACAGCATATTCAGAGGTGAAAAGAAATTAATAAACCACTGGTATTGGAGAACTGGCCTGCAAGTTTCCTAGATCTTAATCCGTTTGAAAATGTTTGAGCATATGGGGAGACTGCCATAACAGCCCCCTAAAGGACATATACACATGATTGAAAAAAGAATTGTTCTAATTTTTCTTGTTTATTGAATAGGCCATTACGGCAGTATATCAAATTTAAAAAATATATAATTTTCAGTTCTCCATAAGCATTCAACAGGCAAAACACCCTGTATATCAATAAAACAATACAAACTCACCACAAAAAATCTTACATTATGTAGTTGGACAATTATTGATTATTCGTTATTCCTGTTTTAGCCACAAGTAACAAACTAACTCACCTTTGTTTGAGCCACTTAGTCTCACCCCTTAAATCGATACCATCCAGAAGATCGGTCACGAAGCCTGGAATGTCACCTTTCAGTTTTTTTTCGCAAGTTTTCAGCCATCTGTCGATAGTGTTCCAAAGCCAACCGGGTTCTTTATGCAAAGGAACCTGAAAAATTATTGAAACAAAATTAAAAAATGCCCTTTAAAAAAACCCTAAATCGAGCACTAAGTTTTGGATTTTTAATAATGTGTGATTATATGAATTAAAATTACAATATACCAATAATTTAATATTTGTTAAGTTTTGATTTTGACTTGCATAAATTAGAGTTAAGGATTTATCCAAAAGGAATAAAATCTTACTTTAGATCTATACATTGGTCAGTTTAGAGTGTTTTGAAGCATTAGTGTCCTACATTGTTTCAATGCAAGGCTTGAATTGGTTTTTTTATTTCAAATAAAAATAAACTAACCCTGAAATAAATTTGACCTTGTTTTTAGAAAACGAGCCTTAAAGTTGATAAAAAGCTCATATGCCAACCTTATCGAACTTTGAACATTTTTTATTAAAAACAAATAGCAAATAAAATATGGTATTTCACATTAAAACAGTGATAAATGTTCATGTGCCATAAACTTTTATCAGTAGTTGTTGATTGTACCTTTTGCGCAATTTGCACCAGGAAACTATAAAATTAAATAGATAAAGGCACCAGCAATACAAAGAAAACATTTTATAAACTAATCAGAGTTTTCTTCAAAACACTCAAAAAAAAATATTAACAAAAAAGAAATATGGATAATATTTCCTACTGCCAAAGCACAGATGGTCCCGTACTTAATTTGAGATGTTTACGTAGGGTGGGCCCCCATTTTTTTTTCTGGCGCTCTCCTGCGTGTCCCTGATGCACCTTTTTTATTGGCTAGAACAAACAATAACAACATACCCCATATGTGTGATAGGCGAACAAAATACTATGTATGTGGTTGATTCAAAGAGATTTAAATTTAGAGAACTAGTAGAGTGCTTGGTTTGAGCTTACATGATTGGTGATCAATGACCCAGAACTGTAAAATGGGATATATCATAAGGATTCATTGATTTAGGGCAGAAAATTGGAACAAATAATGGGCAGCTGGAACCTACTTAAGGATGAGTTTCAGCCTCTGGATCTCTGCATATCTAATACTCCTTTTAGAATTCTTTATGGGTCTCGTACTTTTAGTTAAGAATCTTTTGGATATAAGATAGCCAAAGTCTTTGATCCAAAAGTCTCAAAAAGGTCAACTGTTGCAGAGATATCAATTCAGGTCAAGGGACTGAGAACTAGGAGGATCAATAGGTTCTGATGAGAACCCCCTTTTCAGCCTTGGGATATTTTTCAATATTTGTTTTTTTAATTCCAGAATCTATTAAAAATCTTAGATATACCTTCACTTATCTGATTCGCCCAAAATATCCTAGAATCTCAAACATTAAATTGGGTCCAGAATAGAAAACTGAATTTGAAAGCCAAGTAAAATGTATCAATGCCGATATATTAACCTGAAAAGTTTTCATTTCTTACAATACCTACCAAACTTGAAACTAGTTTATTTGAAAAATTGATTCTGGATATTAAATTAAAAAAACCTATTTCAGGGTAGTACCTGCCTTAATCAGTTTCTCTCAAGTTTCCAATGAGTTGATAAGTTAAAGGACATTCAAGCTAGCTTTCACTAATAATTATTACTTTTTTTATTGGCAGTCACATAACACTTTTTTCTCAGGAAAGAATAGAATAACATAAATTACAAACTGAATACTTTGAATATTAACAAAATATGAAGGTTGAATTTGCAAAAAAAGTGCATAATACATATATGTATATGACAAAATAAAAGACAGCAGAAGAAAATCATAGAATGACTGATTTAATTCACAAATTATACCTAGTGATGATTTCTAGCATGTTAATTCTGTCCTAAATTGGTAATTCAAGCTAAGAGATGATAATACTTAGTGCAATCCCATATAAAGCCTAGCAAATACGCAAATTGAGGAATGTGGTTTAAAATGCAACAAAAGAGAGGTGTTAATGAACCAATGGGAAGGGAGGTATTTAAAAGCTTTAGCAAATAAATATAAATTTTACATTAAATATAAAAACTCGTGATCATTTCGATTATACGGATGTTTTGCATATGAAAATCGTATAACGTTGACCCTTAGGCAATTATTATGTGAAACAGATAAGATGTGTTCAACAACAAACGACTGAAATTTTCCACTGTCCTCATTAAAGTTTATTTACAAAGTGTAAATAGAGATAAAATTTCAACTGCAAGGAAACTCTATAAATAGAAACCAATGTCCAGTAATAGAAGGCTAAAGTTTTTTTTTAATATTCTAGGATTTTTGAATTTCCTTGATAATTTTTCATTTGCAAATGCTTAAATTCTTGAAAACTTTCAACAGTAGCATTTCAATAACTATAAGTAATTAATTCTAGTGAATACTATTTTTTTTCCTAGAAAAGTCTCCTACAATCCTCTAATTAGTCAATAACACATTTACATTCTGGAAGATGAAAAACAACTAACATAAGTAAACTGAAAAATTTTCCTACATACATGTTTACATAAAAAAAAAAACTTTCCTCTGGTCTGGCTTTCAATCTATTTTCATTTTGAATGGTATTGCGTCATTTACGTAATAAAATTTATATTGGAGAGATACTTTTGAAAAACCAATCAGATTGTTATTGGATCAACGTGAACTGACTATGTTTATTCAAATATGCACAATATTAAATTCAATTTTTATATAATGATAATGACAGCGTATGATCACCAATCATGCATATAAAGTAAGCCCAAAACAATCACACAATAAGGCATGGAAACAATTACATTATTACTGATGAAAAATACAAATTTTATCAAAATTCTTGGAGAAAGTTTAACAAAATTTGTCAATTTAAAAAGAAACAAAGAAAAAAATAACGAAAAAAAAAATAATAAGGATGTTACCTATCCCCCTTTCTTTCTACTAATGCATAATGCAGCCAGCAGAATGATGATTTTTATTTCAGACATCTGAAAAAGACGATCTAAGTAATTGGATTAAATCTAAGGGCGCTTACCTCCATTGAATGTAAGGAGGCCATTTTTTGGGCAATTTTAGCTGAAAGTTTTTCGTCGGCCAATTCTGAAGTGAGCAAGGGCCGGGCGTTTATGTATTCTTCGATACGACCGCCGGGGAAGATTCCGTGTAGTTTTGGACCCAAACCTGAAAACCAAACCCTTATTCACTAATATGACTTATTCTTATTATTATTATTATTATTATTATTATTATTATCTTTTTTCCTCATTACACAGCTTCCAGGTTTTGTGATATGTTATCTGAGGAGACACTGGGTGCATACCATGCACCTAGGGGGTCTCTTTTAAGATGATGGTAGGTCTTAATAGATAACTTTCCGCACTATGTGAGCGGTGTTCAGCACTACAGCTCTCTGCATGCTTAGAATGTTGTGGTTGCCAGGGACTTCTTTGATGATTTCGCATGTATAGTTGGATACTAGTCCCGTAGCACAGATGACAATGGGGATGACTTTGGTTTTGAGATTCCACATTCTTTGAGTTTCAATTTCCAGATCTTTGTATTTCAGACGTTCTCGGCCTCCTTTTGAGTGATATTGTAACCCGATGGTATTGAGATGTCAATCAAAAGACATGTTTTTTGTTTCTTGTCTTTTACAATAATATCTGGTTTATTTGCAGTTATTTTCCTGTCGGTTTGTACTTGATTATCCCTGATCATCGTTGTTTCAGGTGTGTCAATGACAGGGTTGGGGACGTGTTGATACCATCAGTCTTGGATTTTAATGCCATATGCTTTGCATATGCTCCAGTGTATTTGTTTCGCTACAGCGTAATGGCGGTCTAGATAAGCTCGTTTGGCGAGGATAGGGCAGCCTGACACAACGTGATGAATGGTTTCATTATAATCCCGGCACAGTCTACATTTGGGGTCAGTGCCGGTTTTCAACAATTTTCGCCTTCATGTAGTTCGTCGCGATTTGTTGCTCCTGACAAGCTGTAATGAGTGATTTTGTCTCGGCTTTCAGAGTGGCATGAGTGAGCCATTCCATGCATTGATTTTTCTCTCCATATATTTATTTGTTCAGCATTTTTTCCGATTTTTCAATCTGTCTTTTATGATTTTTACTCTGTTGCTTTCTATCTCCTGTGAGTTGGTATTTTCAATTTTTTCATTTTCTTGTTGTGCGTCTGCTTGTTTCCAATATTTTCGCTGTTGGCGGTAGACTATCCCCAAGCATTTTTCATTCTGCTCTAGTGTCAAATAATTTTGTAGGTCTTTTATTGCAGTTTTAAAGGTTGTTTCTACATTGGTAAGTCCCCTGCCTCCCTCTTTTCGTGGGATGTATAGCCGGTCGACGTCTGCCCTAAGGTGGAGTGCTCCATGGATGTTGAGTAACTTTCTAGTTTTTGAGTCTATTTTATTTATCTCTGCTTTCATCAATTTGTATTATGCATTCAGTTGGGGTTTTAGTATTTCACGAGTGCGTCGATAGTATTCTTTTCTGAGTCTGCTTTTCATTACTTCATGATGTATCTCGTCTTGTTCGTGAATGCCCAGGTATTTGTAAGTTCCATAGGGTTCAAGTGACTGTATGATGGTTGAATCATAGAGTGTAATGTTCTCCTTTGACTGCAGTTTGCCTTTTTCAAAGGTTGCCTTGGCGCACTTTTCAAGGCCAAACTCCATTTGAATGTCGTCACTGAATCTTTTCACTAAATCGAGTTTCTTGATTAAGTAGTTCCGCTCTATTTTTTGCAACCAGCTTCAAGTCATCAACATACAGAAAGTGATTGTTTTTCTGCTTTTCGTTTCTACATCGGTAGCCTGTATCTGTGTTGTTTGTCATGCTTTTGCATAAGAAATTGAGCAACATCGGTGATGTACGGTATATGTTAAGTGTTTCAATTAGCCAGCTGTGTGGACTTTTTAATAGTCTATGCAGGCTAGTGATATATTTTTGCCACTTTTTTTGCAGTCTGTATAAATTGGTTGGCTTGTTAGTAGATGGTCTTTGCAGCCGTATGAGTTTTTAATACATCCTTTTTGTTCTGGAGAGAATAGATTGTTTTGAGATAGAAGTACATGTCATTTTTCTGATATTACTTTTATCAGGGTTCTGAATAAGTTGTTTGAACAGGTAATGGGTCTATAGTTTTTCGGTTCTTAATTTTTTTCAGTATTTGGTATCAGATGCGTCTTTCCTTTTGTGAACCAATCGGGGTATAGTTTCCTCTTCTATGATTATGCTGTTGTAAGCTGTCACTATGTTTCCATGTGTAGCTGGAAGTTTTTTCAACATTTGGTATCCCGTCTACTCCAGGGGATTTCCAATTAGCGGTGTTTATCGCTGTTCTGATTTCGGCTTCAGTAATGTCCTCCCATTCCATTCTTTTCAAATTCGTGATTCTGTCATATTCATTTTTTATCCATGTTGCATATGTTTTTCCAGTATTTCTCGATGTTTTCTCTTGTGGGAATTTTAGATGCTTCTATGTTTTTCTTGAGTACTGTTTTGTAGAACTGTAGGCTGTATTTTCAGAGAATAGCTTGTTCTGCTGGTATTCATTTTGTTTACTATATCATTTTCTTCTACGCGTTGTTGTTGAAATCTCTTTGAGTTTTTCTATGTTTGTTGTATGATCTTAAGCATTCTTTATTTTATGTTTATTATAGAGAGCTATCTTTATCTCTTTCATTTTAGAGCTCAAGTTTGGCTTGCGAGATTCAAAGAGGTGTGATAGTTTCTTTCTGTAGTTTGCTATTTTCTGGTTTAACCTTTTTTCCATGGTGGGTCTCCTTTTTAATTTTTGTTTCTCTTCTGTGTTTGTTTTGACCTGGGTGTTGGGATGATTCTATTTTGTATCGTTTCTGCTACTGCATAAATTGGTTTATTGATGTTTGTTAGGGATTTAAATTGTTCAGGTTGTTCTTGTAGAATTTCTTTCATTGATTCATTACCTCTCTGGATTAATTCTTTGATATTTTCATTATCATTCAATTTCTTCAACGGCACTCTTTGTATACTTTGGGCCGTACTGATGTCTTCTTGAGTTCTTTTTACGATTTATTCAGTGAATTCCCACTGTTTGAAGTTTTTCTCTGTAGTATTTTTTCCTGGCAATAACGTAATTGCCTCTTTTTGTAGCAAATGTAAAAATACGTTTTCTTCTGTTTCTGGGAGCGATGTTGATATTTCTACAGCACAGTTGTTGATAGTTAGGTTATCTTTTCTTCCTTAGGTTTGAATTTCTTGCTTGACTCTGGTGCGTATATCTTCTAGCTGATGATTTGTTAACTTATTCTTATTAAGTATGAATCTTCCCTGTGTAGCTAGTGTGTTAGAAGTGAGTTTATCCTTGAGGAGTGAATTACGTTTTTGCCATATTTTGTGAGTCTCTTTCACGTTAGCTGTTTCAGTAGTTTCAAGAATATAGAAGTGACACCATATGATTTCTAGATAATGTTCTAAAGTCCATTTTTTTCTTCCTGATTTATTTGGGTGAATAATAGTTGTGGACATATCTTGATTTTGCTAGTACTGGTAGTTGGTCTCTTTCATGGGTAAGTGGACGGTTACTGTTTTCCGGTTGGTCTTCTGATACCTGATTGTTGTTGTTTTCTTTCTCTAAATTTTCTCTTTGTCTTCGGGCTCGAATTGCATCTCTTACTTTTGTTTGAATCTCATCTAATTGAATGGTTGTTAGCTTGTTGCTATTTAAAATATATCTTCTTTGCATCACTAAAAGTATATTTGGTGTTAATTTGTCCGCAATTTGCGGGTTTCGCGATTCCTATAGTTTGTAAGCTTCTTTTAATAAGTTACTGGTTTCTGTGAACGTAGGTATACAAGTGACACCATATAATTTCTTCGTAGTCGTTTATGGTCCATTTGTTCCTTTCTTGTTTTTTTTTTTTTTTTTTTTGTAGGGTGGTTGTTTGATTTGACAGGGCACACTCCTTGTATGTTTGTTTGTTAGGTTCTATTGTAGCCAGAGTTGATTGATGGTTTCATGAGTTGAAAGTGGCCACTCTCCAAGTTACCTGTGAGCAAGAGGTTAATTTCAGTGGAACTTAGTTTTTTGTCAGCTACAGTAGGGCATCTTTTTGCTATGTAGACTTCGGTTTCCGTGATTTTTCTTCAACATGGACATTGAATTTCAGATTTTACGTGTACGGGAGAGTCATCATCTCTACACTTGTTTCATAAACTTTATCTTGGCTCATGTTATGGCAATAGTTGCGGTTGTTGTGGAGACTGGGGTTAGTTAATACTAAATGGTGTTTTACTTCCTCCCAGTTATCTCTGATGCAATTAACTGCTTCTGTTCTAAGTTTTTTGTGCTGATCTTCTGATTGGTAGAGATATAGACTTACGGAGTGGAATAAGCAATTTCCGTCTCCCTTGACATTAAATATGGTGAAATTTGGTGCTGTTGGTGTGTTTTTCTTTGTGCGGTAGTTGTTATTCAATAATTTATTATTATTATTATGATTATTAATATGGTACAATATTAAACAGTTTTCACTGATGAAAATATTCAATCACTTGTAAGTTTATCGTCATGTTTTTTAAAGTTATTGTCTATAATGAATATCCACTTGGAATAATTCACTCATATCGGTGTCGACCTTATTCTTGAAAGAATTCAAACTCTGCGCGGTGACTGTAGAATTTGACAGGCCGTTCCACGGACCATGGGTAGACAATTCGATTTGCTAGGAAGTTCATAATTCTTGAAAGCTTGGCGGTTTTTTCCTTGCACAACTTTAAAGTATGACCTCGTAGATGGGGGTTGTCATTGAAGGTAAAGATGTCAAGGCAGGAATAGGAGCAGGAGTCTAGTATCTCAATATCCTTCATAAGGTACAGATTCCAAACTGAGTGGGCGTATTCTAGTTTTGGATGTATAAAAGATTTATACCTACAGTTTCATAATTGTGTCACACGACTGGTCTTTTTTTGGCTATTTTTGTTACGTGCATCTCCCATTTCAGTTTATATGTTACTATGACACCTAAATCCATTTGTTCTTTCACATGTTTCAGCTCTACATTGTTTATTTTGTAGACAAATTCAGTGGTATTGGTCCCAATGCTCAAGGTAGTACATTTTTCTTTGTTTAGCCTCATTTTCCAGGTATTGGACCACACTTCTATAGCTCTGAGATTTTCTTGCAATTCCTTGTGTTCTGCGGTCTTTGCAAGCAATTTTGTGTCGTCAGCAATAAGTAGGATTTTGGTTTGGATATTTGATGTCATATCGCTGATATATACTAAAAAAAGTAGATGGTCCAGTACTGATCCCTGGGGCACCCCACTCTGGACTTTTCTTCTGTCTGAAAATATTGCATTTATTCTTACTTAATAGTATCGGTTCAATAGAAAATTTGATACAAATTGTAGGAAGCTCCCAGCAATTCCAAAGTGATGTAATTTATGCAGGAGATAGCTGTGGCACACCTTATCGAACACCTTCTCGAAATTGAGATATATCACATCTACTTGCTTGTTATTGTCAAAAGTCCCTTGTCCAATCGTCCAAGCATAGTGTGAGATTGGTTGTAGTAGAACGCCCTGGGGCCCGATTCTTGTCTCAAGGAGAGGAGAGCTCTCCGAGAGAACGAATGTTTTGTCCTTGTCAACGTAATCGAAAAGTGAACGAGAATGATAAAGACGAAAATTTGTTCTCTCAGGGAGCTCTCCTCTCCTTGAGACGAGAATCGGGCCCCTGGAAGAAAGCCATATTGGTGCTTCAGTAATGGATTTTGCTCCAGTAAAAATGGGAATAACTGTTCCACTACAATTTTTTCCATACACTTTCATATATTGCATGTCAAACTTATTGGACGATAGTCCCATTGTCTTCTTTTTTGTATACTGAAATCACAAACGATGTTGACCAAGTCTCAGGAAAGTTGTAAGCTTCAAAAATACTTTTCAAGAAATCAGACAAGGGTTGGCTCAGGATGGCTGCACAATTTTGCAGGAACACTGCTGGAACTCCATCCAGGCCTGGACTGGAATCCATCTTCAAGGATTTTATTGCTTCATACACCTCAGGAGATAAGTCAATATTTGAAGATGCACGTAGGTATTCCGGAATTAGTGGCATTTCGTTTTGATTTCCTTTGGTGAATACCTTTTTCAAATTGGTTTTCGAAGCATTCCGCTACATCAAAGTCGTCAGTCAAAAGTTCTTCTGATCCTTGGCGGAATACAATATACCCATCTATCCTAATAAGACCATCAAGGATGTTCTTATTAAACCAAGTCTCTGTTACTAAGATGCACGCAGGATTATGTTTTTGTATTTATATTGACCATTCATTTATTTTGTTGGTAATACTTAGATTAAAATATGTATAATCATGAATCAGGATCGTTTTAAAAACATGGAATTGAAGTAAAACTCTACATTTGACATTATTTTCAAACTTTTCTGGGAAACATTTTTGAGATATCCTGAAGCTTTCTGGTAATTTTTAAATTTCCTCTAGCTAAGGATTCACAAGTTACCTACATGCACACAAGTCACAGTAATTAATGGTAAGTATAAACTGAACTGGTTCTTACCTCTTTCACTTAACAAAGTAAAAATCACACTTTCAGTTATGAGAGCTTCTAGAGCACCTTCTCCGTGAGTTTGTCCATAGATACGGATGAGAACCTCTTTAGGTTCTTGGGCGTCGTGCTTTTTGTCGTCCTCGTACGAGTCATACAGTTCTGTTGGTAAAGAGATGTGGTAGAGGAGATTGGAGAGACCACCACTGAAAAGAGAAAGATTTTTTCAATAAGGAAAGCTAAACATTTTTAGTGTTCCTATTATATTCCTCTTTCAAATTAGAAATGAGTCAAGTTACAATAGAAATAAAAATATTTGAAAAGCGTGATTACTCAAAATCCGCTCTGTATCAATAACTAATTGATGGAATTTGAAATGCTATAAAATCATGTGATATCAGTAGGTATTAAAGTGCCTCGATCTTATTTCCACTGGACGGTTAACCTAACCACCCAAAGTTTCGTCTTGAAAAAATTGTGGAGTCCCATCAATTTTTTGTTTTATTGATGGTAAATATGAAAAGTAGGATCTCTGTAATATGTAATTACTTTCCAAAGTTTAAGTTTGACTCTATTTGAAAATGCTCAGCAAGTAAACAACTTGGTAATATCTGTAGTAGATACAAATACAAATTCAACTAAAAGAGTAAAAGAAATTCAAAATACAATCATAAGATTATGTAGAACTTTGTTTTAATGAGGAAAACGTGCTGTAACTCAATAAACAGAAGCAATCCAGACCACGCAAATTTTAATTAGTCACAATATTATCCGTTGCCAAAAACCACGGATATAAAATAAAAATATTTGATTAAACAATTACATTATAATAATTTGCTGCGTATATCTAATATTTGCTTGAATGCATTTTATTAATTTATTGTTTTGCCAAAGTCTGGTCATTCAACGGAATCAAGCGATGTAAATAAAACGTGTTTTTTTCAAAAACATGTTCTTGTCAGAGTTGAAAAGGGTTGTAATAATTATTATTGATGAATTTTATTAAAAATTTACATCGAATGATATTGGAATCAAAATGCCAAAGAGCAACCAATAGCATGCCATTGAAATATAACGGATTATTCAAATTTGCAAATCAGGCCACACATATAAGTTCATAAACAGGAACAGCATGGTACGGTATCGATTGATAAAATAAATCAAGAATGTTCAAAACTCCGATTAATACCAAAATATTAAAATTGCCATTATTTAACATATTACAGAGTAACTATGCAAATCATGTATGTTGAGTGTGTTTCCATTTGCGCACATAACATTTTGCAAAAGCTTACTTTAAGATTATAATTCTAACAAGTGTTAGCTGTTATCAGCAGTATTTGCACAAGAACCCAGGAATAAATCAAAGCCCAGTAATTCTCCTTAATGATAATGCAGTAAACAATAATTAAGCTACTTACAGCAATTATTATTAATTCTTGTAAAGTTTAAATATCAGTTATAATAGTCCCAGGAAATTTCCTGGGACAAATGCAAATAGATTAATAATTATTATAATTGGCTTATGAATGGATTCCCTATACTCTCTTATCTTGTTTACAATATTTTCAGTTCAAAGGATCAATTAAACCAGTTTTAGTATCCAATGGAATATTTCAGTTCAATGGGATACAATTATGTTTTTTTTTAAATTTAATAAACAGAGATTATTATTATTTGTCGCTATTTAATTATGTTTTAGCATGTTTTCCATGGATATCTAAAACAAGCATATTGAACAAAATACCTCTAACCATGTTATTTACATTGATTAATGTTGACTCAAGTAAATTAATCTACTTTTGCATACCATGTGGGTTTATATCTCTTTAATTTAATTGCTATTCAACAAAAAAGTTATCTATATTCTGCCAGTAATCATTGCCAAAAAATAAGCCATGCGTTGATTTAAGAATTTCATACATTTACATAATTTGTATGCTTCAATTTCTATGTAAAATTTATCATAAATCCTATGTGTGACTAAGATTTAAGAAAATTTCCAAAAAGCGTCTTAAGTTGTTTGCTATCTATGTTCTTTGTTTATTTTAATTTTATTTAGGTAATTGGGTTTTTCTAAGTTTAACTAAGTACATGGGCTTTATGATAATTAACAAATAATACTAATTTGTTTGACGACAATAACCTCTACTATAAGATTCTAAGTAGAAAATAATGCAAATTATTATAATTTTATGGTAGGGTAATAATTTTTAGTACCTTTTGGCGGCATTGTTCATGAATAAAAGCGATAACTATCAAGGCCGTTGATAAAATTGAGTAAATTAGATAGATAACTCCATGCTTATATAGCAATTTTATCAAGCATTGTTTTAGTATTTAGTTCAAGGAAATAAGTTGAAATAATAAATAACAGATTGATGTTGAGCTAGTTTGGGTTAGTAGTTCAACAAATTAGTAAAAACTAATCAAGATCGGCAGATTTAAAGCTAATTTATATGGCACCTTCAGTGTTTATCTAATCTGGTTACATTGCCACAAAGTTTCTGTTAACTTAAAATCTCATCCCACTCGTAATAAGGGTGTACAATAATTCTGTTATTGGTTCTATTAATTTCTATTTTTTTTTCTTTACTGATTTTGTATGGTACCTATATTTTAAATCATCCACTTGATTTCCTTGAACTTCCATTGCTTTATCAATGTTTCATTGTTGGGTATATAGAGAGTATATAGACATCAAGTTTCATTCTGCTTGATCTACAGATAAAATACCGGGTCCCTTGTGTGCAATCTGATGATTTGGTTTCCAATATAGCTTATCCCTTTTTTTAAGAATGGGCTCCAATAATGCTGTGTATCTGCACGTGGAAGATCGAATTGATTAGGGCATTACTCAATAAGTAGATACTCCAAATTGATAACAATCAATACTATGTCAATACTCATATTTGAAGAAAAATTAATGATTCACTCGAAAATCAGGGAAATAACCAGTTGCAGTCGTAAACTTCAACAAAATAACATTATCTACACAATAATTATTGAATTGCGTCTAATCTTTGATATAAACAAAAACACAACCTTCACAGGGTTAATTACCTAGAAAAATATGAACCAACAATAATATTTACGTGATTTTAAATAATTGTTTTTCCATAGCAAGGCTGAAACTCGAGGTTGAAAATCGGGTAAACATATTTTTTTTTATACTGGTACCTTGAATGGTACTATACAGTATTCAGAAGAAACTGGGTATTTAGATTTTTTGAAAGCTGTCTTCCATTTATATTTCTCGGGGTATTTCTTATCTGAACTTCTAGGGTCCTGTAATCATTCCACTAGAATTCATGTGTATAAGATTAGGTCTAATCTTTTGTCCAATTGAGAGACTGAAAATATAAATAAGTATTTCAATCCTTGCTCTGGTTCCGGAAGTTTTTTTTTTTCACTTTATCGATTGTACTTCAAATGGTTTCTAAACTCAATATCCTATTTCGAACAAAAGATGTAAGCAAAAAAAATAGATAAACTAGGAAAAATTGTTTATCAAAATGCTGATAGCAATTACCCGATTCCAAGTAACAAATTAATGATAATAATTATGACCGTGTCAAGATTTCCTCATTAGTCCTGATAGCTATATCCAAAATATATTATATTTATTGCGCATATTTTGCAGTACCTAATTTTTAATATAAAACTATAAAAATCTTCAAAAATAAGCAAGTTTTACCTAAATTTACCTTTAGGTTATTGTTAAATTTTTACCATTATGGTCAGGTCAGTTCAATTCTTACTAAATAGGTATATTTTAGATTGTTAAATGAAAAATAAAAACGCCACTACATAGTTAAAATCGAACTAAATCTCTTGCGCCCAAAATAACATAAATTATTGTCTGACATAATAACGTAGAATTTGTTCAATGGACCATAAAAATAAATGAAACTTGCATTATTGCCAAATTTTAATTAATGACATTGTTATTTACATTTGCAGGGGTAATTGATGGTGAACAGTAATTAATTTAATTAAGCATAGAATCTAAAAATTCTTGGCTTACGTTGAGCTTGTTTTTTCACTTTCAGTACATACGTATAAATTTGAAATAAATGAGCTTCAACTCTCAACTCAGCCAAGTTGCACTTACAAAGAAAAAGGATCAATATGAACCGTTTCAAAGGAACACATTTCAGCAAAAATTATGAGACATTTGAAGTGGGGTCAGTGCCAGCGTCAAATATACCTGAGTCCAAGGACAGTTAATTCTTTTTTCAAATAATAAATTGTCTTAGTGGGTAAAAAACATGTTAAATATGAACATCATGTATTACCCTGCACAGATTTTTTTTTATTTCCAAGGGATATTTTATGTGCAAGAGAGTTGTTGGAGAAAGGAGGATAATTTCAAACAATTTCGGAGAGTCTGCCTTTGACATATAAGGATACAAAATTGTTTATGGAGCAATAAGGATAAGCAAGAGCATGAAGCTTGAAAATCTAAACCCTCGTCTAAACCAAAGGAAAATAATCTATTTTTTTATCAAAAAACTGTGATTAGGTTCTTCATAACAGATAAAAGACATATAAGATAACCCGAAAAATGAATTAGCACAGTAGGCACATCATAAAACCTTTTAAAACAAACCAACAGAAAAACTGCTTCTCACGAGCAAAAGAGCAAAAAAACCAGTACAGGAACAAGAGTAAAATAAAACAAAGAAAAACTACCTGAAGTGACAAAAATGCACATAGGACATCCAAAGAAAGAAATAGAGAATAAGAGAGATCAAGAGAAAGATATAAAAACGTTAAAATACTACAAACTCAACTACAAACAATTATTGAAAGAAACAAAAGTACGGTAACGAGGAGAATTGCCAATGGGAAGAAAGAGATTTTCAAACTTTAAAACGAAACTGGAAGTATAACAAACAATGGACAAGAAATACTACGTATAATATTAGGAAAGATTTTACAAAGCTCTTCATAGAAATCAGAGCTTTTTGGACTTTGCGGAATTTGAGCCAAGAAGAGTGATGAAGTAGGGTTCATGTCTAACTCTGACATTTCTGTACTTGCTGACTTACTTATTTGTTGAATTGAATTTATTTAGGAAATCCTCTACTAGCCCCAAACAGAAGTCATCTCTGATTATATTATATTATTGTTCATTTTATCAAATATTGTGTTATTTCCTAATTTCAATTTCGGTTTAGGTATATAATTGCATTCTGTATCG